TAACTTAGAAAAATATCAAATGCTCCTTGTCCAGCCTGTGAAAAAGTGGATGTAATAAGATCTGTTGTGCTTAAAATTCCAACAGTAAATGCATTTTCATTGAGTATATAAATACAGCAGAGCCATAATTTCGTTTTAACACCAACAATCAGAGGCACTGCACGATTCCGTCTACCTCCAGCTGCGAGTACCATTAGAAATTCTTGTTCCTGCACGCAGTATATATTACCGTTAACGAAATACTATATACACTTGATTTAAAACAGCTTAATTAATGTGATGAGAAGCGCTCTCTTAAAAACAAACGGTATGGCAAAAAGTTTCGCGTCAGTAGGTTGGGTGTTGGAAATAGGGCCTTAGGTTGCAGGTCACGTGACCTGACAGCACGTAATTATCCTGTAAATACACTACGGTGAGATCATGTAAAGTATGCTGGGCTTTTTGTCGATAGGCTACCACACTGCGATGTTATCTAGTATGCTTATAGGATATCAATTCCAGGTACCGGTGCCATATTACATCTATCTATGTAAAAGCAGGCTGTAATTGAGTGAGTGCGAGTTTTAGTTTTTAATTTTTTTATATTATATACTGAACCACAAAAGAAATGCCGCACCGATAGCGGGTTCCTAAAGCACGCGCTTTAATTCACTCTAATTAACAATAAAACCGAGTACTGAGTTCAAACTTGACGAATTATGGTTAACACAATTCCTGGAATCACATTTAGAGTTCACACAAACAAAATCACCAAAAATGGTACCTTTAAGATGCCTCAAAGTCAGTATTGTGTGTGGCCTCTATGGGCATCGATGACAGCGTTGCATCTTCTGTACATGGAATGAATTAGCCGGTTGATGAAGGCCATAGGCACTTGGGTCCATACTCTGCGAAACGCCTGATCGAGTCCAGCCGCAGTTGTCGGCCTTGGTTCAGTCTTCTTTGAATCTCGTCCCAAAGGTGTTCTATTGGACTTAAATCCGGACTGAGTGCAGGCTATTGTAGGTTTTGGATGCCATGTTGTCTTAGGAAGTCCAATGTTGCTCTGGCAGTGTGGGCACGACCGTTGTCTTGCTGGGAGGTGTGATTTCTGTAACGTCCAAAATGTGGTACAACGTGGGGTCTTATGACTTAGTCAATATAGCGAGCAGCTGTCACGTCATTTCCTCTTCCTGGACCAAGATTCTGGAACACCACGGTGTCAACTGACTGGTTCAGACCGATTGCACCCCACACTATGATGCTTGGACCACCCCACGAGTCTCTTTCAAGAATACACTCATTGGAAAACAGTTCACCACGTCTTCGCCAGACTCTCACTCTGCCATGGACTGTCGAAACACAATATCGGCTTTCATTAAATAAAAGCACAGTTCTCCATTGTCGATAACGCCAATTTCGATGCTAAATTGCCTATTGCAGTCGGTTTTGGCGGTGATGAGCGGTGAGGACAAGACTACGATATGGTCTCTGACAGCAGAGGTTTCTACCACGCATAAGTCGACGCACTGTATCGGCATTGATGGGTCTGTTGGTAGTCACAATAGTATGGCGTGCTGTTTCCGTCGCTCTGGGGAAGCGATCCTGCAGATGGTGGCGCACAATCTGTCGGTCTTGACGTTGCGATGTTACTGAAGGTCGCCCACTGCGTGGATGGTCTTGGATGCTGTTAGTGACCTGATACCACTCCTGCAGTCGGTAGATTGTCCTAACATGAACATTAAAACGATTGGCTACCCTCTGTGCAGTCTGGACAACTTGCAATCGTCTCAAGACTTGGTTCCTCTGATCTCTCGTAAGTCGTGCCATGGGGATTGTGTCAAAACAAAAATGATTTCATGAGAGTTTGGGACTCGCTTTCGCTGGTAGGGATGTTCAGACATGCACGTGCATTTTCATTTTCACGATTGTCATACGGAACCTTTTACCATATCTGCCTTTTTCATGTGCGTTTGGTCGATATGCTTTTTCATCAGAAAACAAACTGATGTTGGTAATATACTAATAACTGTCAATTTGGATTGAAAAACATGTAAACAAAACGGTACAATCATAATAAAAACACCACCTTGCAAAAACAAAATTTTGCATTTGGTTTTCAAAAGCGACGTTTCTTTTGTAGTTCAGTATATTATATATGTGTATAAACGCAATATTTTTTTCATATCACTGCATATCAAGTTGATGTGGTAGGGAAGTCCGAAATGATTTTTGTGTTTATCATTTTGGTTAACCCATGAACTCGTATATGATGCTTAGAAACCAATAAACATAATCATCGAATCCCCAACAAAGGCTGCAAGCACAGATAAGGGAGGTAACTCTGGAAGTGAATTGCCGCGCCTTGGGACGTCTCTCCCAAATACCACCAGGCTGAACATAAAGCAGCAGAACGGCAAATAATCGGAATCGTACAATCTCTGTTTTCAATACAGATTTCTTTAATTATTGAAATAATTTTGTCGCTTTCTATTTTATCTGTAAATCTGTTCACCATTGCTAATAGTGCCATAATGAGTGAACCGAAATCAAGACACTTGTAGGGACTTGTCATTTATTATGATGGAGCGTACTGATCATTGGTTTAGAGTGTAAAGCAATGTTTATTCTCGTTATACCGACTTCCATTTCCCCAGAAACCCCCATGCCATCCCCGTATAAGATAACCTTGTAGCTACGTTTGGTTATAACACTCATATAACACTCGGATTATACCATTGAAACAAAACTACACGCGTCGCTGTTAATTCAGTTCGACTCATTAAACACAGTCTATTAAACATTGCAAACAGGACGGCGCAAAAGTAATACAATACCCGTATGAAACAACCATTCCTTTTATTAAGCACAAGAATGTATTACCGCTAAGGTTGTTGCCCGATCGGCCTTGATATAATATCCTGCGATCCCTTCTTATCAAATATCAGTTAAAGTCACTAATGTCATGGTCGTGTCTGGGCACTGTGTCATGCTTACAATGAGCGACTGACAGGTATTATATGTGATAATGTGAAGGAAATGATTAACTGCACCCCCACTCCCGCAAAAAGAACAAAACAACAACACTAAAAAAACAAACAAATATACATACATACATACATACATACATACGCACGCACGCACGCACGCACGCACACACGCACGCACGCACGCATGCATGCATACATACACACACATACACACATACATGCATACATACATACATACATACATACATACATACATACATACATACAGCATGCATACATACATACATACATACATACATACATAACGAACGAATGAACGAACGAACGAACGAACGAACGAACGAACAAACAAACATACATACATACACACACACATACATATACATACATACATACATACATACATACATACATACATACATACATACATACATACATACATACATACATACATACATACATACATACATACATACATACATACATACATACATACATACATACATACATACATACATACATACATACGTACGTACGAACGAACGAACGAACGAACAACGAACGGACAAACAAACATACAAACAAACACGCACGCACGCACGCACGCACGCACGCACGCACGCACGCACGCATACATACATACATACATACATACATACATACATACATACATACATACATACATACATACATACATACATACATACATACATACTTAAGAACGAACGAACAAAGATCTTTCCAACTACACACATATGAAGTGCAAGACCGCTTCTTTAATTCATTGATATTATACAGTGTATTACCTAGTGGGATTGTGGGGTATGATTACCTTTATACAGCTCAACTTATCAAAGGGATACTTAAATATATAACTGAATATAACCATCTGAATGATGCATATTGTTTTATGCCGCAAACCCAAGTTGGTCAGCCAAACCACTGCTTGAAAACTTGAGCAACAATACCCAATCCCATGTTTGGTCAAGGGGAGCATATTCGTCCCTGAAATATCGGAGTAGTGATTTTGTTAGGAGCGGTAATCTTAACGCCGACCTTTAATGGCGCATGTTGTTACATACTGCCCGAAATAAGTTAAAGAGTGAGTGAGTAAGTGAGTTTGGTTTTACGCCTCTTTTAGCAATATTCCAGCAACATCACGGCGGGGGACACCAGTGAGCCTCACAGGTACCCATTGGGGATTCATCTTCGGCGTGACGAGCCAACGCTTTAACCACTAGGCTACCCCACTGCCCCAGAAGTTAAAGAGAACTTTCATTTGAGGATAGTTATACTGCCCTTGTATGATAGAATAACCATACAGTAATAAAATCGGGTATCAACAAATCGGGTGTACTTCAAGTTATTCTGAGCCGGGTGAATGGCATACCACGTTATCTAGTAAATTGGTGGGTGGATTTCGTTTGAAGCCGACCGCTATAACATCTCATAGCTTAAAGGCGAAAATTGTGAAAATAAACGAATGCTTAGGGTTGTTCATTATAGTACGTAACGCTTGGAACTCCGTCTACGCATGTGCATGGCGTACGTAAAAACGAGTAGACATGAACTGAGGGGCGCGGTACTGAGTGAGTGAGTGAGTGAGTGAGTGAGTGAGGGTTGATGCTGCTTAAATAGTATCCCAGTCACACCATACCTTGTAAGTGAGTGAGTGAGTATGGTTTTACGCCGCTTTTAGCAATATTCCAGCAATATCACGGCGGGGACACCGGATATTAGCTTCACGTATTGTACCCATGTGGGGAATCGAACTCGGGCCTTCGGCGTGACGAGCGGACTCTTTAACCATTAGGCTACCCCACCGCTCCTACTCATTATAGAGATAGAAATCTTGCTCTAACGGTGGTTAATCTACCTTTGCATGGTAGACGGAATTATTTGTGGGAGACACAACGCTGGCGTGTAATAGACATGCATATATGTTAAGAACCACGGTACCTAGATTCTGTGATACCATATATAAAGAACATCGAATTTCAAGAACTCGAAGTCTCTACCTCTATGTTCCAG